GCATATATCGACCTCCTGCTTCTTCCTTCGATGCTTTTTTAAGACATCTGGAATGTATTTTGGATAGGCTTAAACCTACAACGGATATTTACCTTGTTGGTGACATCAATGTTGACCTATCTAAATGCACTACTCAAAGTATGGCAATTAAAAATTTACTAGCAACTTACAATATTTCCTCGACGATTGAATTACCTACACGAGTAACAAATACATCAGCCACTCTAATTGACCACATCTTTAGTAATAGTTCTTTACCACATACAGCTGGTATTCTTTTATCTGATTTTTCGGACCATTATCCAATATTTTCATTCTTCAATAGCACAAATTTGTCCTCTCAGCCACCTGGTATCTTAGGTACTCGTCATTTCACTACTAAAACTTTTGACATTATCAATAAAATTTTATCTATGACCAAATGGGATGATGTACTTGGATCTGAAAATGTTGAGGTATCCTGTCTGTCTTTCTATAATCACTTTAACTCTATAATTGATAGATATGCTCCAATCAAGGTAATTAACAACAACAAGCACAAAGGATGGATTACCAGGGACATCATAAAAGCCTCTAGAATAAAAAATAAACTATTTAAAAAATGTATTTTGAATCCCACACCTTCTAATCTAAAGATATATAAATACCACCGCAATCGTTTCACTAGTGTTATAAGAAAGGCTGAGCGTAACTATTATAGTAATATATTTTCTAACAATGACTCAAAATTTAAATGGAAATTCATTAATTCGTTGCTTAATAATGCCTCTTCTCATAATATTTCTCAATTAATGATTGATGATAACGTTGTTACTAACAATTTGACAATTTCTAATGAATTCAATAATTACTTTATTGAAAGCTTACTTTCTATCGATGATAATTACAATTCTTGTGATAATTCTTTCTTGTCTGGTAATAGCTCTAATTCTTTTTATATTTATAGTGTTAATGAATCTGAAATTTTAGATGTGGTTGGTAATATGAAAAATACAAAATCCTTATCTGATGATGAACTCAGCAACTATATAATTAAAAACTGCATTTACAATATTACTAAACCTCTTGCCTAAATATTCAACTTATCATTTAAACAAGGTGTCTTCCCCACTGTATTTAAAACTGCTCGTGTTATTCCTATATATAAAAAAGGTGACAAACGTTGTGTAAACAACTACCGGCCCATATCTTTATTATCTCCATTGTCCAAGATATTAGAAAAACTCATGTATATTCGAATGCACAAATTTATAACAACTTTTCATCTCCTATCGGAAAACCAATCTGGCTTCCGATCTGGCAGATCAACTGAATTAGCCAATCTTCAGTTTGCACATAACACCCTTTCTAATATGAATGATGGACTTCTTACAATTGGCGTGTTTATTGATCTCAGTAAAGCTTTTGATCTCATTGATCACACTCTTCTATTACGTAAACTTGAAGCGCTTGGCTTTCGTGGTAAATCTCACTCTTGGTTTATGTCTTATTTACTCAATAGATACCAGTATGTAAGAGTTAATGATGTCAATTCCCATAAAATCTTGGTACCTAAAGGTGTCCCACAAGGGTCT